CCTGCTGCGGGACGCCCTGAGCACACTGCATCTCCTGGGCGTCTCCTAGTTTCCCGCGAAGCCATCCCCGCCTGTCCCTGGAGAACGGCTTTGACGGGCGGCGCAAATGCCCCCATTCACACAGATCTACGAATCGTTCCGAGAATACGCGTGCTTCTTATAGTATTGGGATTCTACAGATTACCTCCTAATAGTGTCTTCTTTCAAAAGTCTCGCAGTGGCCCGAGAGGCAGGAGGGCTGGGAGGCGCCCCAGTCACCCCACGTGTCGGCTCACGCTGCAAACGCTGGCGGAGCCCTGCGCCGGCCTCTCCCGAGCGGTCAGCCACGCCGTACTCCACAAGTGAGGGAGAAGCCAGTGTGGCGTGTCCATGCCCCTCAGGTGCAAGACACCAGGAAGGCAAGTGCGGGTTGGGGGGCTCCCTGGGTACTGGGGCGCCTCTGCTGCTCCCCTTAACCTGCAAAGAGCTGAGCCACCAGACCACACTGCAGAGCCGGGCAGGGCCCGCTCTGGGGGTGCCCGGGCTGCAGTGCCCACTGGGGATGTGCTGCTGGTGACCCCCCAAGGCTGGGTCTCCCCTTCGGTCAGTGACAGCACCGCCCGGCCCACAGTGAAGGGGCAAGCGTCTCGAGAATGAGGGCTGGGGAGGACTGCGAGTGTCTAGATCCTGGTTCTGAGGGGACCCGTGGCTGGGAGGGGCAACTCACCGGAGCTCCTGGTGGCCCTGGTGGGCCCTGGTGACCTCGTGGACCGGGAGCTCCCTGGCAACACAAGCAAAGCCATGCCTCAGTGACAGCGCCCTGCCACCGCGCAGCTCATGGGCCACGCTCCCGGGCCTTCTCAAGGGGCCCCGAGGGTGCAGGGGCCGTGCGCACCCCTAGCGGGGTGCTGGCTCGTCTCTGGAGGGTCCGTCTGAGCTGGACGAAAGGTGTGACCCCCGGCCGGGCCACCCACAGCCCACACTGGCAGGGGCACGCTGCCTTACCTGCTCGCCCTTCAGGCCGTCTCGCTGCACCTGGGGACAGACGGGCGTCAGCAAGGACAGCGGGACTCTCCCGAGCCCCAGGGCGCCGCCTCCGTGGGCCCCTCTCAGGGCTGGAGAGCTCCCCCCAGGGGCCAGACCCCTTCCCGCCACCGCGGTGACTCCCGACTGCCACGCTGGTCACTCACCACGGAGCCCGGAACGCCCGGCGGGCCCGCGGGCCCCACGTCGCCCTGCACAGGAAGGACAGACAGCGCCCTCGTCACCGGCTGCCCCGGCCTGTCCACCGTGCCGGGCGCAGCGGCCATCAGGCCCTTCCGTGCGGTGTGCCAGCCCACGGCTCAGCACGAGGTCAACCTCCACGCCGCTGACTGGACGTGCTGGGGGCCTGGCCTCTCCCACTCACACACAGACCCATCTGTGGTGCAAACACCCTACATGTTCACACACATACATGCACACACACACACACACTCACACAATTACACATGCACGCCGAGACCCATATGTGTGCACGTGCACATACACCCCTACATGTGTGCCCGACGCCACACTCATATACACATGTGTGTGTTTGCACATAAGTATGTGCACACATGCACATTCTCACACATGGCCATGTGAGCACATACCTGTGTGCACACGTGCACACCACACGTGTGTGCATGTATGTACACCCACACACGCCCATACACACACAGGGCAGCCGTCCCCTAGCTCCAAGCCGCAAGGGCCGGTCCCTCACACTGACCTGAAACCATGCCCCTCCCTGGGCCTCTGCACCAGGTCAGGGCTGCAGGAGCGTGTCAGGGCCTGCGGCCAGGGCCACAGACAGCGCTAACCTCAGCTCCACGAGGGTGTGGGTGGAGCGAGCAGCCAGCCCCACCAGAGCCGAGGCCCAAGGGGCCAGAACCGAGGCCCCACAGGCCAGGCCGCGGCTGGGGCTGTCAGCCTGTCCATCAATCCGTTTACCTGGGCGGGGCCAGCCTGTCCCGCTGGACAGTCAGAGCCTGAGACTCGCCCGGTGCCCTCCGCCGGCACCTGGCCTGAGTCAGCACGACCTTCACAGGCTCACGGGCAGCCCAGGGGAGGGAAGGCCAGCCTGCCCCTGCAGGCCCTCCCCTCACTGCGGGCCTCCCGGATGCCTCTGCGCCTTTCTCCCCCGCGGCTCTCAAGCCCCAAGAATCTGGAACAACTCCGCCCTCCTGAGTGCCATCACTCCCTGGTGCAGCCCAGAGCACCCACCTTTCGCTGCCCTGACCCCGACACCATACTGCCCACCTTCCCCTGCTTCACGTTTGAAAATAATTTTGCACACAGCTTTTTTTTTTCAGTTGCAATCCAGAACTTCTAAGCAACACATTTCTCAAGCCTTGAAAAATGCTCCAAAACAGATGCGAGCATAAGACACGACCTTTGCTTCGCTTGTTAAAGAGCTAGCCCATTTTCTGGGTATTATTCTGGCAATTTCTTTTAAATGTTGCAGAGGAGCAAAGAAGAGGAGAAAGGAGAAGCAAGGAGGGGACTTGGTAAGATTGTCCAAAAGGAATTTAAGCAACATCGTATTTTAATAATCTGGATGTGATATAATAGGTTGTTCTGATATTTCTGAATGGATTTTGATTTAAAATGTAAAAAAAAACTTTTAAATATGAGAACCAGAAACATCTTGTTAAGCAGACTTCCTGACAGCCATCTCACCTCCATGGTCTGCCCTTTGCTCCAGGAACACCAGCCTGGGCCCCTCCCCCAAACCAGCTTCGACCCCTCCCCCAAACCAGCTTGGACCCCTCCCCCAATCACCCTGGCCCCTCCCCCAATCAGCCTGACCCCTCCCCCAAAACCAGCCTGGCCCCTCCCCCAAACCTGCTTTGGCCCCTCCCCCAAATCAGCCTGACCCCTCCCCCAATCAGCCTGGGCCCCTCCTTCCCAGATGCCCCTACTTGCCCTGACCCAGAGTGGCCTCCCAGACGCCCAGGGCTGCTCACCTTCTGTCCCTGGGGTCCGGCCACGCCAGGGGGGCCAGGTCTTCCCTGGAGGAGAGAGGGAGCGTGGCAGTCAGCGAAGTGAGGGAGGCGGCAGCGGCCAAGGTCACGCCTCTCCCCCAGAGGCACGGCACCCCCCACCCCAGGCTCCCCTGCCTGTGCTCAAGGCTCAAAGTTCTTCCTGACTCGCCCAGGGAGGCTCTCCCGGCCCCTGGGGTTCACTCCGCCCTCAGGGTGGGGACCCCTCCGGGAGCATCTACAGGAAGCAGCTCAGCCCCGACCAGTCCCCTTGGGCCTGCTCAGGGCGGCCTCGGTGGCTGTCTGAGCTGTGCTTTTGGTGAGTGTTTAAGCTCCAGGCTCCTGATAGAAGGCTAAGGGGAGGGCAGGGATATCAAAGTGCCGGTCCAATTTGCGAGCCGACTTTGAACGTGACCTCGATGCTCTTCCGGGTGACGGAGCCCACTATCAAGTACATGGAAACAAACGCTGACCGTGCGGTTCTGTGATGCCGGACAGTTCAGATTTAAATTATTTCATGTGCAGGTGCATGGACCTGCACTGGCTGATCAGCTGGTGTGTTAAATTACACAGGGCGTTTCCCTGGTTGTCTTCAGTCAGATACATGATTGTAGCTTAATTCCCTTTCAATCGTTTAAATACTTGAGTCAGTTACTCTGGGAGACCCTGGCCCTGTGGGCTGATGTCCAGGGCATAAGAATGTCCTTTGCTGCCCCCACAGGCCTGCCACCAGTGTCAGGTCAGAAAGGGCTTAGGGCCCGTGGCCCAGGGTGAGGCCTGAACCGGGGACCCGCAGGTGCCCAGAGGTGCAGCAGAGGGGCCCCGGTGCCCCGGCCCTACAGAGTTTTGGTCCAGACCCCACATTCCCGTCCTCCCGCAGAGCACAGCCCGGCGCCCTCACGCACACCTACCTGCTCTCCTGTCCCCCCGGGCTTCCCGGGAAACCCGTCCAGGCCTCGCTGCCCCTGGGCAAGGAGGAAGACACAGCATGAAGACCCAACAGGGAGCACCTGGGAGCAGCCCCGGGGCCACGTCCCGGAAAGGGGCGAGCGGAGGCCCTCGGGCCTGACAGCCCTCAGCCTCTGCCCACCAGGCACCCCGCATACGGCACACTCACAGACACGCTCACAGAGACACAGACACCCCAGACACACTCACATAGACTCACACACACACACAAACACAGAGACATGCAGACACACTCACACACGGCAGGCTCACAGACACACTCATAGACACACACACACAGAGACACACAGAGACACAGATACTCCAGACACACTCACACACTCACACACTCACACACTCAGACATGCTCATAGACACAGACACACTCACAGACACTCACAGATACAGACACGCTCACACAAAGATACAAACACACACTCGCAGAAACACTCTCACACCCCCATTTAGACTTCGCTCGTGTGGGGGCTCAGGAGCCCGCGTCAGCGGTCAGCGCCCTCTCTGCGGTGCCCACAGGCCTCCCTGGACACTCTCGTCCCGTGGGCCCACGTGGGGCCCAAGCGCCGGCGTGGCCGTGAGCTGCAGGCTCGTGTGCGCGGCACCACGGGTTTCCGTGAGCTGGCAACGGTGAGCGAG